TCAGAAATCGGATTTTAAAGGATTTCAGTCATGTTGTAAGAAAAGAGAATTTTTTTTTGGTTTTTCGAATATCTGATTACGAATCCGAGCTCAAAATTTTGAAATTCAAAATGGATGGCGGGATTCAATTTGGCGGACAAAAAATGCAAAATGAGGTCGATCTGGATGAATTTCGGTATTCGGGTTTTTTTAGGTCGTTGATTACGAATCCGAGCACAGAATCCGTATACTGATCCAGTAAACTCAAAAACGTATAGATATATTGGTTCGCTTCGATATATGAGTGAATATATATGTAAGTTCATAAATATGTCATCTACTTTTAGCATTATCCAGGGACAACGAGCGTGGACGTAGTAGAGACCCTCTAATCAGAGTCGCGAAATAACGGTTCCAATTTTGATTGGTGCTGACATTTTTCAGCAAAAACCGGAAATAGTCATGGCGTCAAATTTAAGTCGATCTACATTCGCTGCCTATTTTGCTCTTTTTCAGGATTACGAGGAAAGACTTTCATAATATAACCTTTTTTTACAGAATTATTGCAGTCTGGCGCAGAACAACTAGTCATTTTAAAAAATATAATTTTATGAAATACAGTATTAATATAAAAAATATAATAATGTAATTTCTTTCTGATAACTGTATTTAGATTCACATGTATTAGGTGTTAATGTATCACAATCATAGTATTTTTATTGCAACTGCGATGGTGCTCGTACGTGCAGTAGTATTATATTTTTCTTCATGCGTGCACGTAATGTGCCCTACACAAAGAAAAATTCTATGTGTAACAGTGGGGGCATATTTGTTTATAGGTCGACACGGGCGCGCGTACGCACTCGCTTCGCTCGTGCCGTCGCACCCGTTCCCACAATAAACAACTTTCCCTTAGTGTTACACAATGTACTATAATCGCTACTTCCGGTTTTTGCTGAAAAATGGTATCGCCGACCTAACCTTATTGACGTTATTTCGCGACTCTGATTAGAGGGTCTCTAGGACGTAGTAGATGTCTGCCCCCTCTGGGGTGCTTAATTAGAGTGAGTCCCCTTGCCTCTCACTTCGGAGTGCTTAATTAGAGTGAATCGTAACATTTTTCAAAAGAATCATTGATTTTCTAGCAACATATCCATTGCATCATTTTCCAATGTTTTTGGCTTTCTTTTTTCTTTTATTCTTAATGAACTAATGACGGGATCTGACGAGATCATGAGGAAATGTATAATATCTCTATTAGTAGATTTTCTACTTGTCATACTGCTGTGATTAGATCTGGCTAGGCGGAACATTTTATTGTTTCCTTCTTGAGGCTCTTCCGATAGCCACCCGATTGGTATCTCGAAGGATTTGATTATATCGCCTCCATGCATAAGAACTTTATGAACTGATGGTGGCATCTTATACCAGCCATACATTTCAACGTATAACGGTGCCGTTTCTAAGCAATACGCCTTAAATGTATTGCAATTGATCATCGAACCACAGGTTAGAACTTGCAATATGTTATGCATTCTTTTGATTAATTGCACATTAATACCCGTACAGGCAGCTACTGTTTCAGCATCTGAAAAAAAAGATCGCGCTACATTTCCAGTGTTAGTTGTTCCAAAACCTTGTTTAACAACGTCTACTGTCAAAGAGAGTTCAGACTTCAGTGATGATTGAATTGTTCGTTTTCTCGATTTTTTGGAGTCCTTATCTTCGCTTGAAATTGCCGCGCTTTTCTTGAAATCGAGGCTATATGCTACATGTAATACATTCTCCATTGATCGTATCCAAAAATGAAGTGTGGATAATCCAAATTTGTAAAAGTCTTCATTACAAGGTAGCGTCTGTACATGTTTCAGATCATTGATTAGTTTTGGCCCTACTTTACAAATATTGCAACAGTTTGAAGCTTTTTGTCCAGTTAGCACATTACACACCTTACCGTCTATCATTGTGCTATATAATTTAAAGCTAACTTCGAATGGCATGTCATTGAAATTAAAACAGTATACCTGAATTTTTTCGAGAATTTCTGAATAATAACGATACTCATTGGTTATGAATTCGCTCGTTTCTTTGGTAAACTCAAATTTTACCACACGACAAAAGTGCACTGATGACGGTGTTTCGTTAGTCCAAACCACATTATTACCCGCTTTTAGTTGAATTGGGGCGAAAGAAATGACGAAAACGGCATGGTCATTTTGACTTTCAGCCTTGCTAGTATCGCTTTCAGCAATCATAGCTGACTGATTTATCCATTTCTGCCGAGTAGTTTGCTGACCACTAGCCCCATCCATCCCCCATTTCCCAATTAGTAACAATTTTTTTGTGGACAGATGTTTCACTACATCTTTCTCTAGTAGCGCAAGAATTCTTTTTGTAGTGTGTTCTAATAATAAAATAAAATCCACACTAGCTCCATTTTCGGTAACAGTTATTTGTTGTGGATAGCATTTCTTCTTTGCTTTTAAAATGGCATCATATGGTGGAAGTAAATCAATGCCAGTAATTTTTTTCTGGTGTTTCTTCATTTTTGCGTACTTTCTTTCCGTCAAATTTAGGTCCATGTACATAGCCAATATTTGATTAATTTTTTCATCACTGAAACCGATATGTGCCATGTCGAAGTTGGTTTCACCACTATCATTTAATAGCTTTCTTTTTAAAGCATGCTGCAATTCTTCGATGGTATGTTGTGATGCCAATTCATTTGATCGCCTTATTTTTGTTTTTGTCGATCCTTCGTCGAAAGACAGACGGTGGCGTCCTTTTCTATTTCCACGCATTATATTTTCCATTTGTGCAGAATCATTACTGCCTTCACCTGATTGGAAATTAACTACAAAATCTTCTTTTAAGAAATAAACATTTTGATTTTTAAAACTTCTCTTATTTCGCGATGCTTTCTGCCATTTCTTTTCGTACTGAGGGACGAAATTCTGCAGTAATTTATTTCTTATCTTGAACAGTTGACTGTCATTATACAATTTAGTATTTTTTATGTCATCCATTATTAGTAGCATTTTTTTCTTTATATCGGTCTCCTTATAATTCCAAATAATGTCGCACAAATCTTCATTTTTTATTCTGTACTCCATTTTTATGAAAACAGCAAAAGTCTTATGTTATCGGGATGCCTTATAAGTGCAATTAAATAAGTAAATAAATTCTTATTCGATAGCTACTTTTCAATCATATAAAATACGTAAACAGTGGTTGCAGCATAGAGATATAAGAATAGAGGGCAAAAGCCGTAGATACAGGCGTTAGCGGGATAGAAAGAGAACGCTGCATAGTTACTCGTGTCATTCTTGTTTAATGACGCATGCGCGCAGCACATTCTATGTTTACTTAGTGTACGTTCCACTTAACGTTCGCAACGCTCGCGAGAATCATTTTGTCCTTCTTGTAATCGAATATTAAGTAAGGATGAGATGATACACGTGATCGTTGCAAACGTTAAGTGGAATGAACTCTTAGACGCATATGTATATGCCGGAAATAACCTCTTTCGATTTTGCAAATGTTTTTGTGTAATTTTTTTAAAAAATGACTGTAAAGTGTATCGTGTGCAAAAAAGAATCAAACCGATTTTCTGATCGCAGTTTTCATAAGTAAGTACACACATATTGTACATAATAAACATACAAACCTAACCTCAATAAAAATTGTAATTAATTGTATAAAAATTGATGTTTGTAGTATCAATGATACTTTTCTCTTTCTTTTGGCCAACCACCGCGAAGTCATACTGCACGTGCGCGAGATTAGACAGAGACACACAGGGAAACTATGCATCGTTCTCTTTCTATTCGTCTATCGCAGCCACTCACGCGTCAGCCTACTGCTGACGCGCTCTATTCTTATATCTCTATGGGTTGCAGTTGTACGTAAGTAGACATATAGCAAGTATAGATTTCTTGTGTCAGGCTCCTCTCGGCATACATATCAGCGAGTTCTCTACTTCACTTGCGGGAAACGAAAACGGGCTCGTTTAGATTTTCTACCATGAAATAAATCTTTTCTATCATGATATCTTTTCAGTACTGACATTTTATATACTTTTTATGAACGTTTCCACCTGGTCATGTTCCGTTGTCCGATATAAAATTCAAATTGAAAAAAAAATTACGGAAAATTAATGTTTACTGAATTTTTATAGGTTATAATAGGTTAGATTAATTCAAATCAAAATTGCCGCAGTTTCTCATTATTGTTGAAGCTTTCACGCGTATTTTAAAAAAAATATCGTCAAGATCGGTTCAGAATTGACATTTTGACCCAAAAACTGCACTGTGCGCCGCTATGAATAAATGCGCGACTGACGCGATTAACACGCGCTTCCGGTAGGTCTCCCATGAGTTCCTGTGGGATCTTGGCGGCTTCGCGTGCGCATCTGACATATCGATTAGTACCGCGCGAACAGTTGTTCGTGCGCGAATAATCCAAAATTCCTCGCGCAGGGAGGTGATTGTGAGTTGAGAGCTCCCGTGCATTGTTCGCACATGATGATGTTGGATTATGAGTGACAAAATTGAATGGGAGCGGAGGATGATGGGATATTTTTTCACATCTGCAAACGGAGAATGACGAAGTCGACTGCCAGCGCGAAGTACGCCGGTGGGGTCAATATACGGATTGAGGCCTGACAGCGAGCTTGTTTTTGATAATGGTCGCTGAGCAGTTAATCTTGCTATTTCGTCCGGGAATAATTCAGTTTGCAGTGTCTTTATCCAATAATGTTTCGCGGCTTGGATTTCTTCTGATGACAGAAGATCTTTAATCGTGCGGCTTGCTATCTGTCGACGACCGGTCAAGCTTTCGCACGGTTTGCACGAAACGGAGAATATACGCGGTAACACGGACGAGAGTAGACCACGAGGAGAATCGAGTCGCGAGGTCCCACTTTTCGAAGATTACAGTGGTACATACTGATTTTTGTTGGCGCTCCTCGAGGACTGAATCTACTGGGATGAAAGATAACGGCGCGTGTGGCCAGCAACTCTCTAGTTGCGACAACCACGAAGGACCTGTCCACCATAGTGGATGCAAGGCAAGTTCATCGGGAGCCACGCCGCGGGACGCGCAATCGGCAGGGTTTGCGTCCGAAGGCACGTAACGCCAGGTCGCGGTTGGCACCAAGGATTGAATCGCGGAGACGCGATTCGCGACAAAAGTTTTCCAACGGGTAGAATGTTGACACAGCCAAGCGAGTGTGATTGTTGAATCCGTCCAGCAAAAACATTCGCTCGCCAAGAGATCAAGGGTCGATTGTACGACGTATATAAGTCGAGCCAGCAATAACGCGGCCGATAATTCAAGACGCGGAATGCTAATGTTTTGAGGGGAGCAACCTTGGCCTTCGCCATCAGAAGCGTGACGGTAACGGAACCGTCGTTTGAAACAAGACGGAGATACACGGCTGCGGCATACGCCTTTGTTGAGGCATCCGAAAATCCGTCAAGCACTCGGGATACCGTGGCAGCGCCGTTCGCTGTCCAACGGGGAATTCGAAGACGGTCGAGATTTTGGAGTCTATCATGATAATTTTGCCACTGTGCAAAATAATCATCAGGAATCTCCTCATCCCATTGGCGTTTAAGTAACCACAATTGTTGCATAAAAATTTTTGCTGTTATGACGACGGGTGCCGCCCAGCCTAATGGATCGAATAATTTCGAGATCGTTGACAAGATAGCACGTTTGGTTTTCGACAACTCTTGAGCAAGATTTACTTGGAAATTGAATACATCTGACACAGGGTTCCAGGCAATTCCGAGAACTTTAAGTTGCTCGTCGCCGGTGAGCATCTGAATGTTAACTAGACCGTGATCTGAAAGATCGAGGTCGGTTAAGAGGTCGTCGCAATTGCTTGCCCATTTTCTCAACCAAAAGCCGCCCCTTAGACAATAAAGCGATTAATTGATTACGTGTCTCACGCGCAAGAGTTTTATCGTCAGCTCCGAAAATGCAATCGTCTATATAAATTTGTGAATTTAATATCGGAACTGCGAGCGGGAAATGTGATCCCTCATCCTGAGTGAGCTGCTTAAGTACGCGAAGGGCGAGGTAGGGTGCTGCGGCGGTACCGTAAGTAACAGTCATTAAACGATACTCGTCGACAGGTACATCCGATGAAGCGCGCCATAGAATGCGTTGAAAATCTGTATCGCGGGGATCGACCAAGATCTGTCGATACATTTTCTCAATATCGGCTATATAAACATATCGGTGTTGGCGCCATTGTAATAAGACAGTTGTGATATCGATTTGTAATTTCGGACCAACAAGTAGAAGGTCGTTTAACGACGTGCCATTCGATGATGGGCTTGATGCGTTGAATACGACGCGTAAACGTGTTGTCGCGCTTGACGTTCGTATTACTGCGTGATGCGGAATATAATAGCTTTGACCAGTGAGACTGGGCATCGCAGGGTTCTGGATTTGGTTCATATGACCAAGGGTACGATACTCGTCGAGGAAATTATACTCGGAAGCTGAAGTCAGCTGACGAAGGAAACGCCTTTCAAGACGTTGGAGGCACGTGAACGTACCGGCACGGGATTCACCTAGCGAAACGGAATTATTGGTTTTGAACGGAAGTCGAACAATATAACGACCTTCATCGGAATGAGTCGCTACAAAGTGTTCCTCATAACGGATTTCATCTAGAGTCAGATGAGGGCTCTGAGGAAGTTCTTCTACTTCCCAGAATCGCCGAAGCACGGAATCGAGATTCTCAATGTTGCTATGATGCACGGGTAAGGAAGGTGAATGACGGTTCAAGGAAGGAGAGATGGGACCAAACAGGATCCACCCCAGCGCGGTGTTTTGAACTACGGGCTCATTGGCTGAGCCTTTACGAATGCCATCGAGGATGAGCATACCATAAAAGTCAATACCGATAATGATATCAATTGGATCGCGACTCATGGGTTCACTATCAGCCAAGGTTAAATCGGAAATATGACGCCATTGATCTACGGGTAGGTTTTGGTTCGGCAAGTACTTGGTTAACGATTTAAGAATCAGCGCATTCGAGTAGGCAGGTCCGTCGCTAAACGTCGGAGAAACGGTAATGTTCGTCGCAGAATGCACAGGAAATTGTGTCTCGCCAACGCCGGTAACGCACACTGCGTGTTTAAATTTTGGTAGATGGAGGCATTGGACGATTAATTCAGTGATTAGAGTAACGACGGATCCAGGATCGATCAGAGCGCGCGCGGTTACGGTACGCCCATGCGGCGAATGTAATCTCAGGCGAGCTGTCGCAAGCAGACCGCTCGAATTTGGTGACACGGTCTTGGAAATGCGTCGCGACTTCGCTTGTTGTCGCTGGCGCCTCTGATTGCTCAGAAGTAGATGGATTGGCAGTAACATTATAATGTAATAACGAATGATGTTGAGCGTTACAATATTTGCACACGTGACTATTCGTACAGTTTTTGACATGATGTTTCCGACTGAAGCAATTAAGGCAATGGTTATTCTGACGAATGTATTTGGAACGTTGGATCGGAGTTTTATTTAAGAAAATTTCACATTGGTATAACAGATGAGTGCCTTGTTTGCAAACAGGACACTTGAAACTGACGGTTGACGCAGCATGGGAAACGACCGTGTTATTCTTCGCCGACTTTGTCGTATCCGTTGATTTTTCTTTAGGTTTAATCGGAATTATTGTTTCGAACGCTTGAATTCGTTCGTTTAAAAATTGATTAATTTCCGCGAATGTTGGATACGGCTCAGAAGTATCACGCCGGAGTTCCCATGCTTCTCGCGAGGTTTTATCGAGCTTTTGGGAGATCAGAAAGACTAAAATATCACTCAAATGTTCGACGGGGCGTCCAAGATTTTTTAATCCTTGGATCGCTGCGTTGGATATATCGCGGAGCGCGCAAAGGTCTTTGGAAGTGTTCGTCGAAACGGTCGGTAAATTTAATAATGACTGAAAATGATAATTGATTAATCATCGCTTATTACCGTATCGTGCGACGAGAATATCCCACGCGATTGCAAAATTTGCGTCCGTTATCGCGAGATGGCTGAGCGCGTTACTTGCTTCCCCTTTTACACACGAAGATAAATAATGCATGCGATCTACACTAGATAATGATTGGCCGTTACGAATTAACGAGGTGAATCGATCGCGGAAGTTCTCCCATTTGTCGATACTCCCGTCGAAAGTCGGTAAATTCAGCTTCGGTAAATGTGTTGTCGGACGATAAGAATGTGAAAGACAGCTTACGTCACCAATGGCTGATTGAAGGAGTGTAGTCTCGAATCCGGATAATATCTCCGCCATGTAGTCTGAGGTCTCCTCGTAGACGTCGGCGCAGAGAGAAAATTGGTCGTGCTTGAAATAAGCATGCTCCGCTTGATCCTGGGTTGTAGCCAGAAACTCAATTTTTGTGTGAAAATCCTGGCCTTTGGTGAAGAGCTCCTTTAAATGATCCATTCGTTTGATAGTCACTGCACGGGTCATCTTGGCTTGTCCAAGCTTCTTGAAATTCGTCAGAACTTTCGATATGTAAAGTATCGTCTGTTTTTGAGCGATCAAAAGTTCCTCAAGAGTTGCCATAACGTTCAAAATTCGGTATGACTCGTATAAGACGTCGTCAGACACTTGGAAGGTCACCACATTGAAATCGACACCGATCCGGCTCGAAGGACCAAAATGTGCGGACACGAGTGAAGAATATGCAACAGCGACGCTCGTGCGTTGGCTGCTAGTACAGCCCTTATATAAAGGGTCGGCGTCGAAATAAAAGTGCGACCAGTTACTCTCACAATGAGCTACTGTTCAATTACAAAGGGAAGGTTCGGATTCGGCGAGCGGCAGCGTCGACCAAAATAGAATGAATATCAGTCACAGTGACGAATAACTATATTGCGACAGAAATATACATAAATCAGTTGACTTCCTCAAGAAGTATGATCGTTGATCACGTACGAATAATTGAAAAACAATCAGGCTTAAGTGTTTAATCGTTAAGGTATTCAGTATGGTATGAATCATTGAAGTTCTAATTCATTAAACAAAATTATTAACAGGAACCACATTATAAAGATCGCGTATGGCGCAAATTGTTCACAGTCGACAATTTCACACTCTTTAATCCATTAACAAGAAAATATTTACGAACTTATGGAGATATTAAATTAATCTTGCTTAATAATAAAAACTAATAAGAAAGTTACGTGAACATTTATATATATGTGTGCCATCCTTAAGATTCAGGAATAACAGTTATTATTATGCGCATGCATATATATACAATTGCAATAATCATTAAAAAACAGGCACTATTAAGCGTATTCATATGTATATATGTAGATACAAGGTCCCTTTCGAATTGGCGAACAGTTGAGAATCTTATCTGGCGACGCTCTCGTGTTTTTGGTTTGCTCGGCGTGGCGTCGGAAATCCGCTTCTGAAACATGGTATGCAAAACGAGGGGGGGAAGAGGGGTTATGACAACCCACACTCCGGTGAACTTGAGAAAGGAAACGGGCTTTCGCCTGAGCCGTCATCAGGCCCCGTGAGAAATATGCGCTGGGCATCGTTCGAGACTTTCATCGAACGCTCTAAGTGGGTTTGCTAGACCCCGTCCGAGATCGACGTCGGACACCATCACTATGAGAGTGAGAAAGAAGGAAAGAGAGAAACAATGACCGGCAGCGGTACTGCCTTGGTAGCCACTCCGAAGGCATCGGAGTGAAGCTACGTCCGGGCCAGATCACCGGACTCGAGGAGGTGGTAGCTGCCACCGCCGGAGACACTCGTCCGGCAAAGAAATAGACGGTGGTCGTAAGACCGACCGTTACGCGTGACGCTATGGAGGATAGCGCCACGCTCCAAGCTTTAGAGACAGAAGAGAATTCCCTGAGCCGATGCACGACTTATTCAGTCTCTCTCAGAGACGAAAATACTCCAGGCAATCCTGGCGGCCTCCTGAGGGGCATACACCCTTGTCTCCGGTTAGGATTAGGGCCACAAAATCACAGCGGGTCCGGAGCGTCACGAAAAACCGAGCGTCGTTGAACCACGCGAGAAGAGAGAGCCCGCGCATTCGTTGTGCGCATAGAGAACAGGGCCGGTTCGTATTAGCCGCGCGCTCTGAGTGGTCTATCGATCTCGGTCGATAACCGAGCTTAACTGAACAGCTACCAAGAATATTTCATTTAATAGAAATGAACTTTTCACAATCTTGTGATGCTGTAACAAGCGTCTTAAGCACACAATATACTTCAATTCTTATAGATGCAGAGCGGAATCCACGAACAAGAAACGAATGCTTTGTCTGTTCTAAAGCGGTAAATACGACCGACGAGCTCTATGTCGCGAAAACTGTTGTCTTGCCAAAGGTTGGATACGGAATGACTAGCTGTGCCGGAACAGCTGATTTCGGCGAACGCTTGGTTTTTTTTTGTCGAGGACTAAACGGTCGCGGGGATTGACGACAATAATAACGCGCTTTGCGATCGCAACGTTTTCTCCGAGAATTCTAAATGGATTTAAATATAATCGCTCGGATTCCTGAACAATGACTACATGGGTTTTACTATTTAATTTATTAGAATTTAATATGAAAAGTACCACATGGGTTTTTAAAAATATTAGATTAGAATTTAACTTGGCGCTGACTATTGATATCATATCTTTTATACAAATGATACATGTCATTATATGAGGATAAAGATAGTACTACATGGGTTTCATAGAATAACTTTGCGCCGACTATTTATATCAGATCTTTTATACAAATGATACATGTCATCAGAACCATTTGGATTGAAATAGGAAGATCTTTCAATAAGAACTACATGGGTTTATATGAATAATAAGAATAATTACCACATTGGTTTTTAAAGATTGTAACGATGCATCCCCCATCGTTCCGGCACACACCACCCAGCCGAACGCCGCTGCATTGCTACGCAATGCAGTGATGAGGGCGCATGGCGCCCGATAAGAAATCAAACATAATTCACAGGTACAAGCGGCAGTAACAGCCGCGTAACGCCGAGCACCGCCGAGCGAAACCGAAATAGATCGATCGCCGCGGACTCCCACTGCTTGGGACTTAGTCCCGCGCACCGCGAAGCACGGACAGCGGGAAAACACGAGCGAAATCGAAAACCCACGAACGCGGCATTTTCGGTGATATAAAAATGCCGCGTTACGGAGAAACGGGTGATTCCAGTCCCGACCAGATCCTAGCAACGAATCCGACTTCCTAAAGCCTACCGACACCAGGAAAACCGGGCCGGAGAGTTCTTCAGCTCCGCCGAGCGTTCTCGACAGGTATCGAAATAGGCATCCTATAGCACCGAACGGCAGGAACCGAGGGGCAGAGTGTGCTCTGTCTCTGCCGAGCGTTCTCGACAGCCGTTTTGGTGCAGCGCGCAACGACCAACGTTCGGGGCAGAGAGTACTCTGCCTCCGTCGAGCGTACTCGACCGTTGGCCCGCGCCGACCACGTCTTGCATCTCGCACTGCGATCGACCAGCAGTCATCCGGGGTGGAGCTGGAGAGTTCTCCACCTCTGCCGAGCGTTCTCGACCGTTGGTCATCGCCCGAGTTGATACGAATACGCGAACCCGCGCGTAACGAATAATAGACTGCCGCAATCGGCAGTTCTAAAATTAGATTATTACCAGCTGATCAGCCGCGCTAGCCGACACCGCGAGAAAAAGAGCATAGCGAATCCGGTTTTTCTAGCCCGTCATAACATCGCCGCGAGCAACACATCTCACTCGCTCGCACTCGCTCACTCGCGACTCACGCACTCGCACGCAAACTACTTGTAATACACACACACACACCGCGCCGATTGCATACAACCGACACACACACACTACACACACACACACACACACACACACACACACACACACACACACACACACACACACACACACACACACACACACACACACACGCTCTGCACTGTAAGACACACACACCGCGCTGCTTGCGCTTCGCATATACAACACGACACACGCCCATACACACACACACTCGTACAAAGACACCGCGACCGTCTCGGCGCAAAGCAATTTCTTTTGCTTCTTTTCCAACAGAATATAAGCCGTTTCGGCGAAACCAATAAAGTTGATCGTTTTTGTTATCATACATCTGTCTGAGACTTTACTTGCCTTGCATTCTCCCACCGATCGAACCTCTTTCGAATCCTTGGACGAATATTCCGAAGAGCTAACGCCGCGCAATTCGATAGTTAGGTCGTTACAAGATAGTAGAATTTAACTTGGCGCCGACTATTGATATCATATCTTTTATACAAATGATCTAGTTTACATCATGGTCTACTAAACAGCAAATATAATTAGTCGATTCTACAGCTGATTGAGTAATTGGCGTTGGTGAACTGGCCCAAACGGTTTTTTATTAGAAGCTCGCACTCTTAGCGCATTTTCTACCTTTTTTTAAAAAGGTAAATTTTTAATGTACACCTTATATTTTCTTACTTTCTTAGAGAAAGATATGTCAATTTTATTTTATTAAAAAAGTTAAATTTATATATATACGATTGTAGTCTAGTTAAGTTTATGTACGATTGTAGTCTAGTTTACATCATGGTCTGTTACGTAGAGAGACTATAGTAATAAAGTCGTGCACGACATCGTCATAACGATCATGGGTATATACGTATACACACACAGTGCTATCTTTGTATGGCAACGGAGGTTCGGCGTCGACATCTTAAAAGACAAGGTTTTGGACGAGGAGACACTCGAGTCCGCGCGGATCGAGCCCTTCGACTTCGAACGCATTAACACGCGCGCATCACGTGTACAGAACGCCAAGCAAAGGGCTCCCCACCTAGCGGGGAGTTGCGTTCTTTCGATGGAAAATTCATTCGTCCGGTGATCGTGCCACGATTCGTTTCGTTTTGTCTTTCGAGATCCGAGCCGTTCCTTATAAACCTTAGCGTGCATATCTCGTTTGCTTGAGTTCAGTTCGCTGTCTTCGAATTGTTCGTGTCAGTCGACTCAGGGTGTCAATCACCCCTAAGCATTGTCGTCAAAGCGCATATAAAAGAATTTAATGTCTTCCGCGTTTCGTTTGCGCGGTATTATTTCGTACACGAAATATTTGTGAATATTTGTGTATATTTGTGAATATTTGTGTAATATAATCACTGTAAATTAACTGTAAATAAGCGAAAAGACAGTAGGAATATTAATTTATTCCTCTTCACAATCCATTTTGGTGCCTCCTGTGAGGTATGAAGAATTAAAACACAAGGAAGAGTTGGACGAAGAGCGAGGTCGACCATATAAAGATTTCGAGAGAGCGATCTTGCGACGGCGGACTTACCAGCATCCATTGGACACCTGCAACAACCTGGTGATATTAATCAATTTTAGTCACGTATTCTTTACAATTTATCGTATCGAGTGGGTTAATTGAAGACATTTTCCAATTTTTATAATGCCGAATAGTATCAAAATTCTTTTACAAAGACGGACTTCTTTGAAGTCCCAAATAACTCAGCTAACCAACGTCCTCGACAAAGGCGCGCCGGATAATGCCACATTAAAATTACGGATTGC